TTTTTTTTTTTTTTTTTAACTTTACAATACTCAAGAGTGCATTCAGAAGTTCCTAGTCTTTACAAAGACATCATCCCATCTTCAAAATTGTACTGTTCTGCCATTAAAAACTCAAACTTTGGAACCATAAAGCACAGATTTATAGATTGTAAGGGCTGGAAGGGACATTGCAAGATCATACTAGGCAGGAAAGCCAAGAGGGGTAAGGTGACCCAGAGAGGTGACCGTCCAGTCTCTTGAAGATTTCCAGGGTAGGTGATTGCACCACATCTGGAGGGAGTTTATTCCAGTCTGGACACCCTAACCGTGAAGAAGTTTTTCCTAGAGTTAAGCCTGAAACTGTCTTCCAAGAGCTTGTGGCTATTACTTCTTGTTTTCCCTGAGGGTGCCCTGGTGAACGGTTGTTTACCGAGCCCTCGATGTATTCCACTGATGTAACGGTACACTACTACCAAGTCCCCTCTCAGCCATATCTCTCTCTCTCTTTTTTTTTTTTTTTTTTTAAGAGAAAGGGGCCCTGGTCCCTCAGCCTTTCCTTGTATACCTTCCCTTGCAAGTCTCTGCTCATACAAGTGGCTCTTCTCTGGACTCTCTCAAGCTTTACCACGCCTTTGTTGAAATACAGCACCCAAAACTGGATGCAGTACTCCAGCTGCAGTCTCACCAGTGCTGAATACAGCAGAGGAATAACTTCTTTGGTTTTGCCTGAACTGCATCAGTTGATGCATGCCAAAGTATTGCTTGCCCTGCTGGCTACAGCATCATGCTGACCGCTCATATTCATACTATGGTCTATTATTACCCCTAGGTCCCTTTCAGTTGTGGTGCTAGTCATTCTGGTGCCACTGAGCCTGTAAGTAAGTTGGGGGTTGTTGGACACCACTGCCCATTTCTCACCAGGATGACACAGACCCTTTCATTATAACTCTCTGGGTCCTACCCTGCATCAGCCAGCTTCCTGACTGTCAAGATAAGAGTGTGCTAGATCAGGGGTTGGCAATGATTTTGGGCAGAGTGCCAAAAAACCCACAACCTCAATTTGTAAGATGTCGACGTGCCAGGGCAGACGGATCGGGGCCCTCATGGCTCCCCTGCTTTGTTGTGGCAGCACAGCCCTGGCCCTTTCCCTGAGGCATGAGGGCCAAGCAAAATGCCTTTGTGTGCCATGCTTCAGCAGACGTGCTGGGGGTTGCCTACCTCTGCGCTAGATCTTCCTACTGAATACCTTTAGGAATTTCAGTAGTTTTTGGTTTGGTTTGTATGGTTTTTTTAAATGCAAAGTACCCACTACCCAACTTAAATAGGTGGGGAATACAATCATGTCAGAGTTGGCTCTTGTTAGCACTAGACTTTTTCTCCCTGCTCCTCCCCCACACCCACAATCAGCTCCCAGGACCTAGTGTATGGGCAGCTCCCCTCTCCCCCCACATGTACACCCACATCCCCCTCCACAAGCCTCCCCCTGCACAATATGCAAGAGTAAGACTTAAAATTTTGAACTATTATGCAATCACCTCTATATACACACTACTTAAAAACCCCCCATAAATCAGGACTTTCAAAATAAAATTAAAATGTGTTATAGAAGTTTGATTGTTAGTATACAATTTGCCTTTTTTTAAATCTACAATTTGTTAAAATGGTGTCTTCTACAAGACTGTGTGCGCAGCCCTCAACAGCTCACCAAAACTCTTCCTCCAGTCAAAATAAATGCCCATCCCCAATTTAGAGCAAGAAACTGACTTCCAGAAGGAAAGAGATCATTTCAGATCTAAACAATGAGGGACAGCAAGCTGATAATATCCTTTTTCAGTCCACAGCCTGGAGGCAGGACATTGCAGAGCACTCTTCCTGAACAGCGATCTTAAGTCCGGCTTCGTAATTAAGATTTTAGACCCCATCCTAGGGACATGAAGACTGACATGGAGGCTAGGAACAGTAGTTACACATAAACAGGTTTAAGTGATCAGAAACTGGCTTAAACTGGTAACAGAACAGAAGTTCGGTGCACATAAACCTCTTTCAAAATGGCCAAAACTGGTTCAAGATAAACCCGGTTCTATGTAGTATTGGACTTAACTGATTTAGGTCAAACTGGTTTGAGGAACTTCTATCCCAGACCCCTTCCTGGTTTAAGTTTTCACAGGCTCTCAGCATCCCAAGACGCTCTGCAGCCCTGGGCTGGGCTGGACCGTGCCATCTGCTCCAGTGAAGCAGAGTTGGCCCCACCCCTCTACACCCCAGACAGAGCACTATCACTGCTCTGGCCCTCTGAGAAGTGGGGGTAGGAATCCCTGCTCTGGACTGTAGCCCCTGCCAGGCTTTTTCCTGCTCTGGGGTGGGGGGCATGGCCAGATTCTGGCCCAACCCTATGAGGCAAAGGTGGGGAGCAGGAAAGGGGAATTAACTCCCTTCCCCTCTCTCACTTGCATGGGACCCGTCAGGGTCTGCATAGCAGCCCCTGCCAGGCCTTCCCCACTCTAGCTCAAGCTGTGTGGCCAGACACCAGGCCAGGTGGCCCCCCGAGGTGAAGGAGTAGGGAGGGAAAGGATTTAATTCCCCCTCCCACTGGCACAGGACCCCAATCAGGGTCTGCCTGGCAGGGGTGCAGCAGCCCTTGCTCAGGCTTTTTGAATGTCTGTACTTAGCTGGAAGGATTGAGAAGTATGGCCCTAAACTAAAGCTTTTACCAACCATGTTTAGAAATTATTAAAATGGCTCCTACAGTTGCAGTTTTCTAACCCCGTGGCTCTTCCCTTGGCTGGCACAGTTCCAGCCTGCGAGGGGCTGCTTGGGCCCCCCTCCAGCCTCTGGTGCCCCATACACAAGGAGGCATGGGTCAGGGAGGACAGCAGGTCAGGAGTAAGGGGTACTAGGTCAGGACTGGCCACTGATGTTTACAAATAGGTCCTGGTAGGAAAAAAAAAAAAGTTTGAGAACCACTGTCATAAAGGACAAGTATGGAGGATGGCATTAGATTTGTGGAGCCACTAGTCCTCACAGTTTAAAGTGGGGTGGCATAGTTGGCAGGATGCATCAATGTCCTGTACTATACAATATTCTTAGTCTTTCCTCATTCCAACACTTAACCCACAGAGTTGGATTTTCTGCAGGTAGAACAAGTCTTATTGCCTTGAGTTTGGCAGTACGCATTTAGATTCTTTTATCCTATTTAACCCTGAATGTTCAATTTTGTTTTTAAAAACGAAATAAACAGGGCACAGTACACAATATAGTAATCATAACATTAATGGAATGGCACTTGCTTCAAGGGACTCGGGGGGGGGGCAACGAAGTGGAAAAAGCACTCAAGTTCAATATAAACCCATATATCAATACTCAACTTTAATTTTAGCTTCCACTAA